AGATGATGAAGACAACGAATCATATGGACTTTATGGGATTAGGTGGTGGTTGGTTGGGTTTGAAGCTTGGGGGAAGGTCTGTATTGGACAGCTTGGCGAGTTGCTGACATGAATGAGAATCAAAGTCCTGGAGAGGTAAGGTTTCCCAGGGAGAGTATGCAGAGTGACTATCAGTTTTTCCTGTATCAAAGCCTTTGCCCCCATCCCACCTCCAGATCAATGACCATTGCCCCTTCCTCAAAGGGACGATCATGGCTTCTCTCCCTTGCACTGGGCCTGCCGAGAGGGCCGCTCTGCTGTGGTTGAGATGCTGATCATGCGGGGTGCTCGAATCAATGTGATGAACCGTGGGGATGACACCCCCCTGCACCTGGCAGCCAGTCATGGACACCGTGATATTGTACAGAAGGTATTTATGAACCCCTCCCTGTCACCTACATCACATATATGCCTGGAAGTCACTATAATATACTGTAGAAAGTATATGTACTCTTCTCCCTCCTCGAATGCCACATCTTATTTAGGACTGACTGTGCCTTCTGCCTCTTTCTGTCTCTCTGGCCATTGGCACCAGCTGCTGCAGTACAAAGCTGACATCAATGCAGTGAATGAGCATGGGAACGTGCCCCTGCACTATGCCTGTTTTTGGGGCCAAGATCAGGTGGCAGAGGTGAGTACTCAGGCCTTGAGCCCTGGGCTGAGTGGGAAGCAAAGTCTGAGTCTGAGTGGAAGATTCTGGAACCCTCAATCCATCTTGTGACTACTACCGAGTATATGACACTCACAGGGTTTGTACTGTATCTGCATTCATGGTTGGTTGTGACTGCCAGGGAGGTAGCAGGGGCCCTCATCACAACCACCTTTTCATTACAGGACTTGGTGGCTAATGGGGCCCTTGTCAGCATCTGTAACAAGTATGGAGAGATGCCTGTGGACAAAGCCAAAGCACCCCTGAGAGAGCTTCTCCGAGGTCTGTCCTCCACCCCCCAGCTTGCGCCCTCATCTTGTCCCTGCCTATCTCCTCCCTCCATACTACAGCTGAGGCCAAGACCGTCTATCTTCCTTCCCCAGAACGGGCAGAGAAGATGGGCCAGAATCTCAACCGTATTCCATACAAGGACACATTCTGGAAAGGGACCACACGCACTCGACCCCGTGAGTCAGTTGTGAGGGGAGGGGTGATAACAGGGAATAATCCTGGGCTCCTGGGGCTGGGTTAGGGGGAAGCTGGGTACCTGACCTACCCACACTCTCAGGAAATGGGACTCTGAACAAACACTCCGGCATTGACTTCAAACAGCTCAACTTCCTGGCGAAGCTCAACGAGAATCACTCTGGAGAGGTGACCCCCGCCCTTCTTGGCCCTCCCTCCCCAAGCCCCCACAAATTACCTGCTCTGCACCTGTTTTAAGTTTCTCCTTCAGTTAGCAGGCAAGAAAGCGGTGGCCTTAGTTAAAGCCTCCTAACCCTTACCTGTCCCTCAGCTATGGAAGGGCCGCTGGCAGGGCAATGACATCGTTGTGAAGGTGCTGAAGGTTCGAGACTGGAGTACAAGGAAGAGCAGGGACTTCAACGAGGAATGTCCCCGGCTCAGGTGGGGCAAGGCCTAAACTGGAAGCTGCCGGTTCCAAGGAACCCTGACTAGCACCCAGAGGGAGATCTTTTATGCTGAATCTCAGCCAGGGACACTCTCTCCCTCTCCCAGGATTTTCTCGCATCCAAATGTGCTCCCAGTGCTAGGTGCCTGTCAGTCTCCACCTGCTCCTCACCCAACCCTCATCACACACTGGATGCCATATGGATCCCTGTACAATGTACTACATGAAGGCACCAGTAAGTAGAGGATGCCAAATTCCCTTGTAGGGGGGAGAGGGTGTGTAAGCCTCTCCGAAGTATTTGACTGTTGCCTTCTTTCTTAGATTTTGTCGTGGACCAGAGCCAGGCTGTGAAGTTTGCATTGGACATGGCAAGGGGCATGGCCTTCCTACACACACTAGAGCCCCTCATCCCACGACATGCACTCAATAGTCGTAGTGTGATGGTGAGGTCACAACTTCACTCCTGGCCCAGGCCCCCAGAAGCTCTTTCCCTATCTAGAATAGGACTTACCTCCTTCCACAAATCTATCTTCTCTTCCTCAGATCGATGAGGACATGACTGCCCGAATCAGCATGGCCGACGTGAAGTTCTCCTTCCAATGCCCTGGGCGTATGTATGCACCTGCCTGGGTAGCCCCTGAAGGTGAGTGAGGGTATCATGTTGGGAGGTACAGAAGGGCCAGCTCAGTAGTAATGGAAGGGGGCAGAGACAGGACAGGACAGGCAGCTGGAACAGCTAAGTCCTATCCCTCCAGCTCTGCAGAAGAAGCCTGAAGACACAAACAGACGCTCAGCAGACATGTGGAGTTTTGCAGTGCTTCTCTGGGAACTGGTGACACGGGAGGTACCCTTTGCTGACCTCTCCAACATGGAGATTGGAATGAAGGTGAGAGCACAACTGTATACACTTGTGTTGGGGGAATGGTGGTGGTAGTGACAATAACTGTGGTGGGGCTGGGCTCTTCCCACATTGTTTGGGTATACAGTAATCCTGTCCTGAGGGCTAGAGGCCTCTCCCCACATGACTCAAGTTCTGAGACCCACTTTGTTTTTCCCTGTATTTGCAGGTGGCACTGGAAGGCCTTCGGCCTACCATCCCACCAGGCATTTCCCCCCATGTATGTAAGCTCATGAAGATCTGCATGAATGAAGACCCTGCTAAGCGACCCAAGTTTGACATGATTGTGCCTATCCTGGAAAAGATGCAGGACAAGTAGGGCTGGAAAGTCTCTGCCTAAACTCCAGAGGTGTCAGGACACGGTTAGGGGAGTGTGCCTCCCCAGAGCTACAGGCCTCTGGTTGCCTTCCCTGCCTCCAGTCATGGTACTACCCCAGTCATGGGGCCCATCCCCTGCCCCCATCCCTACCACTGTGGCCCCAAAAGGGGCTGGGCTCAGAGCTTTGTCACTTGCCACACGATGTCTCCCAGCACGGGAGGGATCAGCCCTGCCTGTCACAATAAAGTTTATTATGAAAACAGGCTGGTGTGGGGTCAAGGGGACAGAGAAGTACATTTAGGTTGGGTGGCTCAGGTGAAGTAGTGCGGCTTCTTCACATTGATGCCATACTCGCTGAGGGCAGGGGTCAAGTCCTCCATGGTTAGAGTGTACTTGCGGTCCTGAGGGAAGAGGGAAGAGCACCAGCTGAGCACAGGAATCCCAGATTTCAGTCCCAGGTGGGTGACCCTGAGTAGGTCTTTCACCTCCCCTAGGGCTTAGTTTCCCCAAAGGGGTTTCTGGATAAATTAGGCCTCCGCTGCTGTGGGAGGTAATTACTGACTCCATGAGTCTCCCCTCACACCTTGCTCTTGCTTCGGGAGCTGCCAGAGGCTGTGCCCTTCATTTTGCAGTGCTGTAGGGCATCGTTGGCAATATCTGAGATGAATTTCTGGGCAGCTAGGGAGATGAGCCGAATTCTAGAGAGAAAAAACTGGTATGAGGAGGAGGTGGACAACGGACTCCACAGAAGCACCCAAGGCTCTAACCAGCTCAGAGGTTACTCACATGCGTGGGTCCGAGGCCTCAAAGCCAGCGCGGTTCAGGTAGTAACCGGTCACTGCATCTGGGATCTGAGGAATCAATTAGACGACTGTCAGTGTTAGCCCCATGCACTGGGGTGAGAGGGTGAGGGAAATGGGGGAGGCCAGGCCTGGCTACCACGAAGCTCACAGTTTGGGTGGGCAGAGGGGTTAAAATCACAAGAGCAGGTAGGGGTGCAAATACAAAAGGACGCTGGAAATCCAGCTGGTGTGGCAGAAAGTTGCGTGACAGCGAGCCAACAGCCTTGTTCAGGCAGTAAGCCCACCGTAGGCGTGTAATCCTCCAGCTGCATCAGGAAGTCCACCAGAGGCGTGCTGGACACCACTGGCTTCACGTCTCCGTTGGCCGCGCTCGGCAGCACGTAAACCCCATTAGACATGGCCCCCTCCGGGGGCGCCGCGCCGCCTGCCGACACCGGAGCTGGAGGAGAACCAGCAAACTGAGACACGGAGGTGGGGGGCGCAGAGCCCCGGCTAGGTCTGCCCTAAATCGTCTGCCCTCACCCGCCGCAGGGCCCAACCCAAGGCGCTGCCCTCACCCTCACCCTCACCCGTCCCGGCCCTCACCCGCCCCGCGCCGCTCGGCCGGCTCCCCGGCCCGCGCCGCCACGGGTCCCGTGCCCGCTGCCGCGGCTCCAGCCCCAGGCCCCCCTGCTGTCCCCACGGGGCTGGCCTTGTTCTCCGCAGCTGTGCCGGCCGGCAGCGCGGCGGGGGCCGAGACCGTGGGGGCCGGGCCCGGGGCCGAGGCGGCGGAGGCCGGCGCCGCCTCGGGGTCCGCGCCGGAGCCGCTGCAGCTCATCGGGCCGGTGGGAGAGGCGGCGAACAGAGCCGCTTCCGCTTCCGCTCACGTTACGCACACACCAGGGGTGACGTCACACGCCTCGCGACTCGCCTCGCTCGCGCCGTGTTCGCTGTCTCCCTTAGGCCTCTCGGTTTACCGGTTGCCCATCCTCCAGCTAGATGACGGAGACCGAAGGGCGGGGACCCAGCCTAGGAGAACGGTGCTGGCTGCGGACATTCCACCCTCTACCGCGCCGTGTTCTAGGCAGTTCCACTGGGATTGGAACCCTTGAATGTCGAGGACTCTCTTCTGTGGATCTGGGACCTCTCATTAAACCTGACGCCTAAAGACCTTGCTTTGGGCCTCATGGGCCCTCGACCACAGGTTGCCTGCCAGTCTGCATCCTTTATAGTTCTCTCATTCAGCCTTTTAAGGGTTATTAATAGAATTGGAAAGCCCCCCTCTTCGCCAGCTGCCCGGAGAAATGAGGGCAGCAGGAAGGCGCACATAGTGTTGCTGTAGATGGTGAAAGAGGTATTTCAGCCTGAGTAGACAACATGCAAAATCACAGCAAGTGAAAAAGTAGGGTTTTAAATGCAGCAAACGTTTATTTAATTCCTACTTGCCAATCCTGAGCTAGGGCCTGGGAATACAAGGTTAAGTAGGACAAGATTCTAGTCCTCTAGGCACCAACGGTCTTGGAAAAGGAGGCAAACAGGTAAACTGGCAATTTTAATATTATGTGGGATTTACAATTCTAGAGGTAGACATGGAGTGCAGTGCAAGGGAGAAAGGAACTAACATCTGCTTACTTTTCTGTGTGTCAGGTGCTCTATCAACTTGATTCCATTTAATTATTCCCTGCTTGTTATGAGAGGCAGGTATGGATATCCCCACTTAACAGAGGAGGAAAAAGGCTCAGGGAAATGAATGTACTTGCCCAAGGCTCTCTCCTAGTCTATATCAGAATCAAGAATCAAACAGGTTTGGTTTCAAAAATCTGATTTTTCTGCTGTGCCAAAATCAACTAGTTTCAGGGAGCCAAAAGGTTCACAAGAGAAGGTGACTTTTGAGCTGATTCTTAAAAGAATCCCAGAAATCAACCAGGCAAAGAGCATAGTAGGTAGTGTTAGTGGTAGTCAGGGGTAGTATTAAGGGCACAGAATCTGTTGAGCAAAAGTGAAAGTGTAGCGAGCAGGGGAATAGGGGAGGATAAACAACTTGTTACTCAGGAACAAATAGCAAGAGAGGGATCGGATTTGTGAGTCATAGTAAAAAAGCTTGAACTTTATCCAGTAGTCTTTGAGGGATCTCAATCAAGTAAATGACCTGATGGGATTTGCATTTTACTCTGGAAGATGGTTTAGGGAAGGGCAGGAAGTAAGGACACTTTTTGCAAGGGCCTCCTGCAGTTCAGAGGAGAGAGAATGTGGCTCTAAGCTAATGTAGTAGCAGTGGGGATGGAGAGAAGTAGATTAGTTCTAGATATATTTAGGATATATAATTGGCAGGACTTGTGGATTGATAAAGATATATTTAAGAGGTAAAGTCAATAGGACTTGTTGATTGGAGGTGGTGGTGGGGGAAGGTGAAGGAAATGGGAGTCTGGGATGACACATAGGTTTCTGGCTTTCTTTGAGGAAGCATAGTCTCATTTACCAAGAAACAAAAGAGAACAGTTTGTGATGGGGAAGGAGGGAGATCAAGAGTTGGGTATCACACATCTTGCATTTGAGATATCAATCCCCATTAGATAGAAAATCTGATTTAGGGAGATGATGATGGCTATGGATGCCAGTGATTGATTTCTTCCAGGGGACAATGGGTAGGGTGACAAGAACAAAAGACTAAGGATGGAGCAGTGAAGTACACCAACATTCAATGAGGAACAGAGAAAGAGAAGGAGGAAGAGGGAATGATAGAGGAAGAGGGAATGGTCAGAGAAGTTAAGTACTGCAAGCTAAGGAAGCAGAGCGAGTGGGCAACTATGACAAAGAGCCCCTAAAGCAGAGATTGAGACATGTGCACTGGATGAAGCAGCAGGGAGGCCATTGTTTCTCAATGTTAGTTGAAAAAGTGATAAAATGAGAGCAGAGGTTTTGTTGCAATGAATTGAGGAGCAAACATCAGGTGAAATAATATATACAAACAGTGTAGACAACCCTTTGGAAAAGTCTGGTTGAAAGGAGAAAGAAGAAATGGGGAGAGGGGGTTGGGGGAGGCTCCCAAACAGTACTGGTTATACTATCTGTAGAGGAACCTGAGGCAGGAGTAGGGAGACCTGAGTATGATGGAATAGAGTAGGTTTGGGAGTCAAGTCAAGCTCACAGCATTTCAGGGTTAGGGAGATAAGCTGTCTGCAGCAGTCAACACTTGAGGGTTCATCAGGGCTTCCAACAGTGCAGAACAAGGGACCGAGCCACCAGCGGTGGGGGAGGAGTCAGGCCCACTCTGTCAGCAGGAAAGGGTCAAGGGTTGATTAGTGTCTTCAGTAGGGCTGGAAAGTTGGGTGTTCCCCAGCCTGTCACAGGATCCCAGCCAGGGCCGGAGCAGAAACCCTGACCCTGCACCTCTTCATTCAGACAGGACTCATGGCAGCCACGGGTTACCTAGGGAGAAAATGGGCATCAGATTTGTGTCTGCTTGTCCCAGTACTAAGAGACTGCATTCCCTCACCCTGTATTCACATTCCAGGGTCCTCCCACACCATCAGAAGTGCCCTCAAGTTCATCTTAGCACTCCCCATACCCTAAGGAAAATGTCTGCACCCTCCCCTTCCACACTCACATCAAAGAGTCCTGCCCCACGCTGCTGGTAGAGTCTTGGGTTGAGAAAGCCAAGAGGAGGGTGACCACTGAGGATTCTGTGTTCATTTATCAGGGATAGGAGGCCCCCAAACACTGGAGTAGAGGCCTGCAAGGGTGAGCATGCAAGTAGAGGTTAGGGGTTCAGAGTGTTTGGACTTTGGGAGAGGGATATTTGAAAGTATCAGAAGCTTCTGAGGAGTCGGGGTTCTGGGTGCAAGGTCTTTTGGGTAGAAGGTAAGAGTAGTTGCTGAGTGGGGGTTTTGGAGTCAGGCTGATTCTCACCGAGGTACCAGACACCCATGGAATGGGCACGTTGTTACTGACCACCCAGTAGCCATCAGAAAGTGCAGCCACATCTGGGTAGGCACGGCCACTGGCATTGAAGTAACTGGATGGTGGCAAGTTGGGGCTGGAGCTCAGGAAGTGGGCTACAGCGTCCTCCTGAAAGGCATTGTTGAGTGAGTCTTGTCTGCTGAACTGAGGATCCCCCACCCATCCGCCCACACAAACATACACGTACCTGGTATGAAGGCTGTGGGAACACATTGCTAAAGCCACCACCACTGATATAGTCAACAACTTCATTCGTGACTCGGAAAGGATTCTGGAAGGATGTGCCTCCCACCGTGGTAACATAAGGACTGAGGGCAGAAGACAGCACTCAGATTGTAGGGGTCCCAAGGGGACCTCCAAAATGTGTGAGAATGGGGCAGTATGGCCTATATCTTGCTGGAGGGTCTGGACTCTGTAGGGAAGCATGTACAGGGGGATAACTAAGAGGTTTTGGCCCTTAAGGCATGGCCTGAGGTGACTGTGCACACTTTTCCCTACAGAACACCCACCAAATCTTCCACTAAAATGCCTGGGGACTGAGGAAGAGGAACACTGGGAGTTGTGTCCTACTCAGGAGACTTGGGGCCTGGGACCTACAGGAAGAAGAGGGGAGTGCAGTAACCAGAGCAGGTAAAGCCGAGGGCTGAGCCACAGGAGTACCTGATGGGGTCAGGCAAAGGTTCCAGGTCATGAGGTGACAGATGAAAGGTTGATAGTCACAGGTAAGTGGTGAGCCAGGGTGCTTACCTGGAGGCAGGGAAGCTCGGACGGAACTGATGTCTTCCAGAGACAGACCAACACCCAGCCCCACTGTCACCTGGGAGAGAGACTGAGTTTAGTGCTCAGATTAATTGGTCAGAGCTTGGTATGTGTGTTCAGATGTCAGAGAGGAAATTCAAGTTTTAGTCATTACTGCAAGAGATCAAAGTTTAGAGCTCAGGGCGGTGGTCCCTGTGGAGCTCAGATTATGAGTCAGAGATCAGGTTCAGGGGTCACTGTGGGGTCAAATAGGTTGGGTGGGTGAGGCAGGGGGGTCTAAGTTTAGAATAGGAGGTCACCTGAGGCAAAGAGGAGGGTAAGACCCCGAGCAGCAGCCTTCATGAACTCAGTGTTGACCCGTTGGATGTAGGCACTGCTGAGGGAGTCCTCGTCATCCCCATAGCTCACGGTGTGCACATGTGGCAGGGCTGACTCATTACTGAGCAGTAGGAGCCACTGCAGGAAGGGCTCTTGTGACTCGTGCCGGCCTGAATTTGTTTTGAGGGGTGGGGTACAAGGGCAGTCATTGGGGGGTGTTGTCAGGCTCTCCCTCTAGCTCATGGGATTCTCTACAGGGAGCAGGGATCAACACTCACCCCCACCCCTCTCCCCACCAACCAGTCCCCTTGGCAGTACCAGGGTTACTGTAGACCCAGGTGGAGATGTTGGCACCAGCACTCATCAGGTACTGTACATCTAGACTGGCCTCGATCCCAGCCAGGCCCCGGCCCTGTTGTCCGACGACGCGGGCTACTGATGCCTGGTGTGCAAAGTTCCCACCAAAGAGGCGCATGAACTCAGCCAGGTCTGAGTCACGGAAATACTGTTCCAGGAACTATGGAGGGAGTCAGAGCAGATATCATGGGTCAGAGGATGCAGCCCCAAGGGTCTGGGCAGGGGGTACTGTCCCAGATCACAGGATAGGGGATGAAAACCCAGGGATTAGAGTCAGAGAGCAAGCCCCAGTATGGTCGGGCACTTTGAGGAGGCTGTGAAGACCCTGGGCTATCTCTATGGCTCACCTGGGCACAGGCTTGGCTGTTGTTGGTTGTGCCAGAGCCCACGTCTTGTGCTGTCAAGTTGTATCGCTCACGGATGACAGATGGGGTCACCCCCAGGTGCAGGCCAACAGTCCCTGCCACCTGTGGCTCAGGGCGTTGCCTCAGGGATGATGTGGGGGGAAAGCGGTGCAGCCCCCCCACTGTGAGGAAGGGTCAGACTTGAGGAGGAGATCTTTTAGACTCCAACCCCCACTTTACTGCTGACCCCACGCCAAAACCCCCCAAGGCATCTAAACTTCTCCAGCCCCTGGCTGTGCTTGCCCCAACCCCCACCAATCCCACTGGGTATTACCAAAGTCCACATGGGAGGCCAAAGCCTTGGGGAGCTGGTAGGGACGTGGGGACCTTACGACATGGGTCTCTGTAGGTCCTCCCACATAGAGATGAAACTCAGCCCCAGAGAGCAGCAGCTCTGCCTGTCTGGAGATCAGAGATCAGAGAACAGAGGTCAGAAAGTATGGAACAGAGTAGCCGAGGCTGCCTGAGCATCACTGGACAGTTAATCTTTGTCTCCCCATGCACTAGCTCTCACCCACAAGCCCCCAGCAAGCTCTCAACTGCCTCCCATTGGGGCAACTAGTCTTCCTAATGGGATTATTGGTACCCTCCACAGGGAAAACATTCTCTCTCACCGGACACTCAGCCAGCAAGTCAGAAAGTCCTGTGTAGTCACTGAGTGGCAGTTCCGGGCTCCAGCTGCCAAGAGCCATTTTTGGACCGTGCTGAGGGTCAGTGGTGATGGCCGGACCAGTTCAGCCACATCCTCTAGGGTCAGGTATTTTCCTGCAGGGATTCGGTAGAGGTGCTTGCCTTCATTTGTTGCTTTTCTAAGTTGCCCTTTTTTGACTTCAACCAGAAGACACTGGGACTTCCCAGGGAACCTGGAGCAGTGTCTTGAGGGATGAATGGGAAGTTTCTGGCAAAAAGGCAGGCTGTGTAAGTGCAGGCTGTATCTGGGGGAAGAAATAGCTGGAGGGACTTGGAATGCCATGGCCAGGAGTATGGATTTATTGTAAATGTCAGTAGGTTGCAAATGCTCCACCATGGCATGCATCACCACAATCATGAAAAACAAATGACGTTAATAAATTAAAAATTCCCATTTTAAGTTTATCTCCAATAGAAGTTTTCAAAACTTTCAGAGCCAATTATAAGATATCTAATGTAGCTCAAATCTTCATACTTGTTGATTTTAAGCTTAACATGATAGTGAGTCACTGTTTTCCTGCATGGAGTCATGCACGCGACTCCTGGGTGAATCTGAGACTGCCCCCTCACACACACACCACTCCTCCCCCCACCATAAAGGACTTTTTTTTGGACATTTTTATGGACATAAAGGAGCTGGGGAAGGACTCAATGCAGCTTGACCGTTGGAGCAAAACATTGACTGTTTGGGAGCAGAGTGAGGAATAGAGTGGGGAGTGGAGTGGAGGGAAGTCTGCAGACCTGCAGGCAACACAACTGAGTTGGTGGCAACAAGGGATGGTGAGAAGCAGACTCCTCCAAAGGCTATTTTGGAGTTGGAACTGGTAGCCTTAGTGTCTGAATGGAGGAGGAAATGGGAGTAGATTTGAGGGTTGGGGAGCAGTTTGAGCCCCTATATGTACTAGGTGCTACTTCCCCTTTGTCTGGTAGCTGGTAAGCAATATAGTCAGAATCTGAATCCAGATCTGACCACAAAGCCTGTGCTCTTAACTGCTTCTAGTTTTAGGTTTTTAGCCTGATGAACACAGGTGGAAAGTTTTGAGGGAAAGAATGTGAGTTAGTTTCAGACAGATTAGTTCCAGTTCACTTTTTTATTCAGAAACTGTTCAATGAGAGCCACTGCTGTTCATCTGCTCTATATCACCCCTTGACAGGCACTGACAGCATGACTCTGATGTGATCTGCACCATCCCATGCTCAGCCCAGCCCTGTGTCCCCCTCCACTGCATCCCACATCCCACCCCCAGTCCCGACATGCACCGTATCGAGGAGAGCTGGGATCCGACACAGCCTGCACCAGCTTGGACAGTCTCTCCAGGTTCTGCTGTCTCAGGGCAAAGGTGAGACTCAGCTCTTCCTCAGGGTCCACACGGCCCAGGGACACCCAGCCTGGGGGCAGCCTGCAGAGTCAGGGTCAGGAATATGGTCTTCATTAGGGTGGGGATGGGAAATGATAGTCATGGAAGGTTCCGGATTAGGGGCTGAGTCCTTGGGTAGGATCCCAGAAGCAGATATGGCTCACAGAGGTGAGTGATCGGGGACTGGGCCTGGGAACCTGGGGATGAGACTATGGAGTGGCTACCAGGAGTGGGTACCAGGAGGTGGTAAGAGGGTGAGGGAGGCTAGGACCAGGACAGTGGGTGCAGGACAGGGCAGAGGGAAGGGGGCAGTGAGTGCTAAATCAACTTACGTCCGCAGCTGGTCAGGCTCCGGGCTGTAACTGCATTTGCCAGTGACAAAGAGGGCAAGAAGCCCGAGGAGGCTGCAGGGGCGGCAGGTGGAGTTTCAGCGGCAGCCAGACTGTCACTGCATTCCCGCCCTCCAACAACTCCCTCCAATGTGATCCCCTTCTCCCGGGGGCCCCCTAATCTCTCACCAGGCTCGGAGTCCCATTCCACCTTTCTGCAGATCTGCTGTCATGTGACGGATCACATGAGCCCTACATTCCAGCACCATCACCACCCCTCTAGAAACTAGTGACGTTGCTGGCTCCTCCCTCCACTGGGGCGGTCCTGAATTCTGGGGAACGGGTGGGGCTGCCACTCGATTCTCATTCTCTCTCTGTGGCCCATCAAGCCCTGGGTAAGCCCAGGGCTCCCCCCTGCTGCCAGAGTCCAAGCAGGACGCACCACAGGGTGTATGGGAGGTGTTTAAGAACGGGGCTCTGGACCTTGAGGGTATTATGTTCAGTGAAATAAGCCAGATAGAGAAAGACAATCTCTGTATGACTCCACTCACATGTGGAAGATAAACACGTGGACAAAGAGATCAGATTAGTGGTTACCAGGGGAAAGGGGGATCGGGGGTGGGCACAAAGGGTGAAGTGGTGAACCTACAATATGACTGACAAATAATAATGTACAACTGAAATTTCACAAGGTTGTAAACTATCATAACCTCAATAAAAAATAAAATAGAAAAAAGAAGGGAGGGAGGGAGGAAGGGAGGAAGGAAGGAAGGGAGGAAGGAAGAAAGGAGCTCTGAAGGCCATAGACCCATAGACCCTGGTTCTTCCTAGCTGTATGATATCTTGAAAGTCCCCTAACCGCGGGGAGCCTAGATTTCTTCCTTTAGAATATGGAGACGATTATATTAAAAGTGCTCTGCCTCAGGGTTGCAGTGAGAATTTACAGAGATAAAGCAGGCAAATCACTCAGCAGAGAGCCTGACATGGCAAAGGCTCAATGAATGGGAGCTATTATTACATGTGGATATATAGTAGCCCTGGGAAAAACATACCCTTGGCTGCTCTCGTATCCATCCCTTCCTCCTTGAAGACCCTCAGGCCTGGAGCCGGTCATCCCTAAGATCTCTCCCCATCCAGCCAATCCCTCTGTAAGTCACTGCCACAAGCAAGCCCCTGCTGTCTGCCTTTTCCCTGCCCTCCTGCCCGTGCTAGAGGGAAAGGTGGACTGTAGAGAGATGGGACAGTCAGCCTCAGGCTAGGCCTGTGCTCCCAGTGCCATCCCCACCCCAGACACCCCTATGTCCACCACCTTTCTGTGCCTCCTGAGGTGTCCACATGTGCCAGGTGCCTTCCAATCATCCCCCACCCCCATCCCCACAGAACAGACCCAGACGCTGGATACAAACTGCAGTTTATTAAGGCTCCAGAGTGAGAATTGGCACTTGGTTCTGGGTAGGGGCAGGGGTGCCAGTGAAACCCAAAGGAGCTGGGCGCAAACAGGTTGGAGAGACCTCTCCCCATCCCCCTACCCCCTAATAAATAAAGTCTCAGCTCCATCTCAAGGTGCTGGCGCAGGGCAGGAAGCCCTCACTGAGGAGAGCCCAGGGCTGCTGCCTCCTTCATATTTCTCCCCACATTGGACCTGGCCACAGGTCAGTGCCCAACAGGGCTTCTGTGATGCTGGTGCTCTGATGGGGCTGGGGTGAGACGTGGGACCTGCCCCCACTGGAGGAGTTTGGGATGGGGAGCTGGCCTCCCCCATGGCCAGTCATGGTCCGAGGCTGCCCAGGGCAGGCTCAGATGGGGCCTGCATTGGGGACACTGTGCGCATCCCAGGTCGGGGCCCAGCCTGGGCCACAGCTAGATGTGCAGCTCCGTGTCATCAGGTGGCTCCAGGCCGGACTCTGCGCTGAGTGCTGAGGCTGAGGGGCCCTGGGCCACCCCAAATGGCGAGACAACGGGTGAGCGAGCAGCCAGAGGAGACAGTGAAGGTGAGAAGCTGGGGGACATGGCAGCTGAAGACAGAGAGCCTTCATGGCTGATGGGGGAGCGGTGAGAGGCTGGTGGGAAGATGGCCCGAGTTGCAGCTGTGCTGGCTGGCTTGGGGGGCACAGACTTGGCTCCTGGGTGGGCCACAGCTGTGATGAGGGGTGGTGGGTCAATACGGGGAGCTGGGGGACATGGCCGAGCTTCATCCTTGAGCCGGGCGATTTCTGTGAAGACGCTGGCCAGCGGCTGGAACTGAGGGCACCAGCTCAGCAGATAGTCCCAGTTATAGCTGCCACGGAGCTCCTCCTCACCAGCCACAATGGCTGTCAGCGCACCTGCCACACATGGCTTGCCATCTGCTGGGAAGCCATAGTCCCCAGTGGGTGCAGGGCTCAGGCCACAGCCCCCGAGGAAGGTTGTGGCAGTGGCTGGAGGGCCCTCTTCTCGGTACAGAGTGGCTCCTGCACCTGGCAGCAACAGCCCTGCCTTGCGGCCCTTATACCAGGTGTCAGGGGCAGGTGGCTCACAGGACGTGTCACTCAGTCCATCTGCATCCTGCTGGATGCCTGAGTCAGGGCCACGGGCAGCCAGGGAGGAAGCCACACTGGCCACACGGGGGAACTCGTTGATCATGCGGATCTCATCATCCTCTGCAGCCTCTGCTGAGCCTCGGCCACTTGAGTGTGAAGGGTCCAGGGAGCCACCACGGGGGTAGGGTCCTCCAGCTCCTGGCCCACCATAGCTGGGGAGAGTCTGGTGATAGAGGTGCTCTGAGGGCGGTGGGCTAGGTGGCTCTCGGCCCAGCTTCTGCAGGGAGCCACTGGCCAGGGGTGCTGCCTGTGACATTGGGCCAGGAGCAGCCTCAGCCTTGCGGCTACGGGCCCGCACCAGCCCTAGGACCAGGGCTGCCAGTGCAAGCACCACCACAACTCCCAGGGAGGCCGCCACAGCCCCCACCAATAGCAGGTTGAGGTCAGGTGCCAGGCCCAGTGCAGTGTGGGTGATATCTACAGTCACGGGCACTGTGGCACTCCGGGAACCAGGGAGAGGCCCCCGTGCCACCACCTCCAGCCTCAGCTCCCGTGGTGCCTCCCGCCGGGTCCGGCCTCCACCCCCAGAGGTGCCTGTTCCACTGCCTGGTGCTCTGCTGTCCACTCGCAGATACAGGGCTCCTGTAGTCTGGTTGATGCCAAAATAGGGGGAAGAAGTGGCAAGAGAATAGAGCACCAGGCCATCTGCACCTCCATCCTCGTCTGTGGCCTGCACATGACCCAGGCTGTGGCCTCGCCGGGCACCTTCTGGCACTTGGAAGTGGAAAGCTGGAGCCAGGAATACTGGGTCATACTCATCCTCACCAGTCACCAGCACTGACACAGTGACTGAGGCTGAGAGATTCCCAGCATCGGCGGCACCCACCAGCAGCTGGAAGCTTCCTGTGTGCTCATAGTCAAAGGCCACTCGTGCCCGCAACTCCCCCGTTGAGCTGTTCAGTGCAAATGCCTCACGGCCCTCAGGCCCTGGCCCGGCCTCCAACAGGCTGTAGCGCAGCCTCCCAAAAGCCCCAGCATCCCCATCAATTGCATGCAGAGTGGTCACAAGAGTGCCTGGAGGTTGATTCTCTGCCAGGCTAGTGCTGAGCAAGCTCAGCGGGAAGGCTGGGCTGTGGTCATTCACATCCTGGACCTCGATGGTCACTGGTGCCAGAGCAAAGTGTGCCCCGGCAGGGTCGGCAGCCTGTACTACAAGCTGATGTTGAGCCTGGGTCTCACAGTCCAAGGGGCGAGTCAATCTCAAGGCACCTGAGCTCTCATCCAGCTCAAAGAGCCCCAAAGGGTCACCTGAACTGAGAGTGAAACGCACGAGGCCATGAGGGCCTGGATCAGCGTCGGAGGCCTCCACGTGCAGGAGCTCGGCTCCAACAGGTGTGTCCTCTGGTACTGCCATGCGGTAGGATGCTCGGGTGAAGACAGGTGGGTTGTCGTTGACATCCAGCACAGTGACAGTGACTGGCACAGCTGAGCTGCGAGGTGGCTGCCCCCGGTCAGCTGCAGCCACAGTTAGATTGTACTGGGTTAGGCTTTCAAAGTCTAGAGGCTCAAGCAACACCAGGCAGCCCAGTGCCCGGGGGCCTAGTCCACCACCCTCCCCAGTCTCAGCCAGCCGGGGTTCCAGCTGGAAGACTCGGCCTCGGTTGCCACTGACGATGCTGTAGTCCACGGTGGCATGGGTGCGGCTTCCATCAGCATCTGTGGCCTCTAGGGTGAGCAGGGTGGAACCAGGGGGCAGATCCTCGGCCACAGCCACACGGTAGTGTGGCAATGTGAAGCTCGGGGCATGGTCGTTCTGGTCTTGCAGCTGCACATGCACTGTGGCTCGTGCTGCCCGGCCTGGCATCCCATGATCTCGTGCCTCCAGCACCACATCCACCACTCCTGGCCCCTCACGGCCCAAGGCCACTGTTCCCAACGTCGTGAACAAGGTCCCTGAGATGAGAAGGGAATGGAGAGAAACATGCATTCAGCAGAGGCTGTGGGTGAGCAGACGGGTGACGCTTCAGGGCCTAGGAAGTGGCCTCAGACATCAGACTCCAGGGAATGGCCTGTGTGCTGGGAGATTATGGAATGGCCTCCAGGATTCAAGGAACAGCTTCTAGACATGCAGCCACAGCTTAAAATAGAGACAAAGGGGGAAAAATGTCCTCCCTGGGTCAGAGATCCAGGAGTTAAGAGTTCAGGCAATAAATTCCAGGAATGAGGTCAGAATATGGCCCAACACAGTCAAATAGAGGGGGTCAGATCCCAGGAAGGACGCACCGTTGTTGGGGTCAACACTGAAGCCCTCAGCACTGGAAGCCAGGTGATAGGAGATGTGACCATTGGCACCTGAGTCCCGGTCAGTGGCAGAGACGGAGAGAATGGCACTGCCTGGGGGTGTGTGCTCAAGCAGCATTACCTGAGGTATGAAGACAAGTGTTTATGGCCAAGCTTCCTAGCTGCCCTGCTGCCCACTCAGCCTATGTTCTGCGGCTTGGTCCTATGAGCCCTGCTTGGCATCCATTCCAGTTTGAAGCCCATACTCTCTAGTATTCAAATTACTCACCTTCCCTCAGTTTTATGCACAGGATGCAGAATCTGGACACAGTTCCCAGGACTTGGAAGGCTGCTTTAACACGGGACCCTCCCATCTCCAGAGCTCCATCCCCAGGTCAGTTCCAATGCCCAGGCCACCCCAGACACTTCTAGCCTTCTCACTTCTCTCCAAAGTGAACAACCCTGGGCCCAGGTTTGGGGGCATCTGTGGGCATCAGCACCTGGTAGAGGC